GTTGTTATGACATTTCCATTCAAAACCACAAAACTAAGACACTCAATCAATCAATTCACTATCAGTGCGGAGGAAACTAAAACCCGCTTAAACACTTGAATGTTGGAATTTCAAAGATAATGTTGACCTGCTCATAAGAAGCACATTTGCCAAGGGTTTATCTTCTGGGGAACAAAACAAGAGAAAGTGATGATAATCTGTCAAATTGTTACCTTATGGATGAATAGAAGTGGACTGATGGACTGACGATGAGATCTCCAGAGCTACTACAGCGGCTAAAAACAATATACCACATTACGCTCACGTCAAAACAATATTCTTCAAAGCTTTACAAAGTAGGTTTGTCTTTTTCTTCCTGCATTGTATAGCATTTGGCTCAGTTTTGGCCATAAGTGTGCCCATGCTGTTTCGATAAAACACACAAAGAAGGCCCAGGTTCTGCGTATTCCCGCACCGAGATGAAAGTGGTCTCCGAAGCCAATGCCCAGGAGACGGCATAATAAAATCACGTCAATACTTCAAAATGGTTTCTGCTCTTTCAAATATAAAATATTCACATATTGACTTAGCTATTGATGTTTTGGAAGGAAACTTCAGACGAGATGTCGTGTGACAGATCTACATTCAAGCCACGGCCTGGCCACAGGATGACGCTGGAGAATGTGTAATTGGTGGGATTGTACTGTAACTCAGTTACAATAATGTTATCATTACATTAAATCAGTTATTTGATGTACACTTTCTCAAACATAGGGGGCGGGGGTGTTCAAGTTGGCTCAACTTTAACACACATTCAACTTCTCTTTTTTTTTTTTTTTTTTTTTAATACACAAGACTGATAGCAGATGGACACACAGTTCCCTCTACTGGGACGAGGTGGCAGACTTAAGCTATTCCGTCTCTCAAATTTGTTTCAATTACCCAGACCTTCTTCCCAAACGAAAACAACACGGTCCCTGCTAATGTTTTTGTTATGTTAAGTTCTATTCCCATCACAAATAAATCCTCTTCCAAACCAACATAATAAAACCTCTGGCAGTGTTTTGGACTTTTAAATGCAGTTGCTTATCCCTGGAAGTCTCTCTTTTGTGGAATCAACACAGGATGGCGCATAAAACAGTAAAACTAAAAACAATGCTAACAGTAACCTATACTGGGAAGTTGAACCGTCATTGTTCCCAGAAACGATGAACAGTTTCTGGTATAGCTCTGTGTTCCCTTTAAGGCAGTACTCCTCAAATAGTGGGGCGGGCCCCCCTGGTGGGGCGCGGTGAGGTGCCTGGGGGGGCGTGAGGGGCTTCTAAGGGAATATGGCACGGGCACTGGACATAAGTGTACCACTGCTGTAATGCTTGAATGATAGCCTCTGAAATATATTCTGCTAAGATTGAGACTTGTGCCAAGAATAAATGGAGCAGGAAGTGAGAAAAGTGACACCTCAAGAATAGTTCTTCACCTACAAAACAGCAGAGCTGACAGACGGAAGGTAAACACTGTTATTATCCTTAACAACTTCCTCCGACTTTTTAGTTTGCCTTTTTCCGAGGTTAGCTTCTGTCCTTATGACTTTTTCAGCAGTTCTGAATGTTGACAAACACATTCGAGCAACTTTTCATCACAGCAGTGGTGTAGGTCAGTGGTCTCCAACTCATGGTCCAGGGGGTCACTTTGGGTCCGTGAACCTCTCACCAGCTGTTTGCTCTATTTATATTTGACAAAAAACTGTCAAAGTTTTTTATTCCAGCCCACCAAACCTTTCCAAATTATATAATTTGTTTATATTATCATTATACGTCTGCTTTTTCCCTGCAATACGCACATTTCCCCAATAGATGGCATTTTAGCCTTTATGCATGACTTTTACATGTAATTTATCTTACACAATGACAATTGTGGCCTGCGAATCAAAATGTTTGCCCACGTCTGTGTTCAACTGAATACCATGTACTACTTCCAGCCAGGGCTGCCACTGTGCACGTCTCCATTAAACCAGGAGGTGGTCCAACACCCAGTGTTTACACTGCGGTTACCAAATAAGATCATGCCAACACTGATACGCCTTTGTGTTTGTTTGAACACAACCAAACTTTAGATAACATCATCAAATTAAGTCTTGTTAGTGAGGAGCTGACAACTTGATGGTTGTTGATGTTTTTCATACTGTATATCTGGTCTGGCTTATATACTGTATTTATAGGTGTATTTTTAATGTTTGTGTACGGGAATGTGTGCATATAAGTGTATCTTGATATATATTTGTATGTGTGTGAATGTGTACATGTATACCTACATATATGTATATATATGTATTTATATTTGTATAAATATGTATGTGTGTAAATATGTTAGTGTGTGTATGTATATGTTTATATGTATGTTTATATATGTGTATTTCTTTATATGTATTTTTGTGTATGTAAATATATATTAATTAAGTCACAATACATCTGCAATACTGGGGGTTCTTGGGGGAGAAGATTAACCTCTACCTGGTTAATCACCCACATTTGTAACACTTATTAGCGTAAAATAATTTTCACAGTGTTGGTCGCTTTTGTGTGTAGAATAATATTTCTGCCTCAGGCATATACGTATACATACATAGATTTTATATAACAGCCACATGTTGGCAGTAAATTAGAAGCCTAACAGTTGGTCTCGAGTCATAAACATCGTCATCCAAAACGGAAACCTCGTTAAATATAATGCCACGCTAACCATTGCAAACAACGATCTACATTTACTACTTGCGCTGCTTAAGAGTCCAAACAATCAGTGTTTAATACAAGTCGTTTATAGAGATAGGAAAAGGATATTACTCTATTACACGTCTTAACCACGCTTTATTTAGCCACATGATTATCCTGGCCCATAAGTTTTGCACTGCACACAGTAAAAATGCACAGGAGAAGTGGCCAAGAACTTTTACTGAGCTGATATTAATTGATTTGTCCCAATGTGCCAGGAGCCGGTCTCCCCTGGGCTGTGTTTCCTGACGGTGGTGGCTCAGCGCCAAGGTTCTGTCCTAACTCTGCATAAAAATAAATGAGAAGCTTTGGGACTACTTTCTAAAGTCTGGGGATATTGTTCAATTTCAAGTCAGTCCTCCAGGAGGTAATTTAAACAGACCAGCATGTTAATCAACAAGGTGTAAGAGGCAGTTCTGGAGAGTGACCCATTCTTTTTCCCCTCTGTCTCTTCTGTTGCAACCGGGCCAAAACGGACCCAAATATTCTGATAGGGAGAGTGTAATTGCACCAGACTTGCGAGGACATTGCACTCCAGTGTGGTATAAATATATGATGAGGAAAATCAAATGACCTTTCTGGCTTTAAAGGGCCGCCGGTGGGCAGTAGCACGGCGTTGGTTGACATTTTCGTGTAACATTGGACAGTATTTGGAAGAAAACTTGAAAATGAACCCTCTCTAAACCCAGCCTAGAGCAAAGCTGCACACATTAAACCTGATAGCAGAGGGGAACCCAGAGCATGGCTGGAAGACACAGCATTAGCCAGGACGTGAGCCTCCCTGCTGCCATCAGCACAGCAACAGCAACAGCACCTCAGTGGAGCCACATTTGACCCTGGTCTGAAGAGGCACAGCCTTATCACCACAAATAATTCAATACTCCGAATATTTCCCCAGTATCTGCTGCAGCCATGGAAATGCGATAGTGTTCATTCTCAGCTTGTGCCCTGAACCCACAGGTCAGGTGGCAGCAGATCACAGGCTCCACTGTGACTCAGGGGTTAAACTAATCGTGCTTGACTTTTTCACATGGCTTAAAAAAAATGCCCTTAGAATTTTTCAACAGTGGATCAGTGGTTTTAAGGGTTCGTTCTGCTGGTTATTTATATGTAATGCATCCTAATAGGATTATTAGAATATTCATCAGCCAAGGATGCACAGTACCACGGAGTAGTAGTACAACTGGTACTTTAGTATAAAGCCACGCACACGCTCATACAGGGCATCCGAGAATACATGGCATCTGTATTTAATCACCGACTTACTCTGCGTTATCCCAGAGGGACTCGGATTCATCTGTGTGCCACCAGAGGGAGCCTGTGGATGGCAAACGCGCCATCGTTATTATTCACTATTATTCTTTACTTCTTATTTACTATAAACTCACATTGACGTGAAAGTTTCAGGTGCACACGCAAAACTTTCGCATGCGCATTTGAATTTTAGGTGAGCACCAGAAACGTATATATTAAAAAAAAAAGTTTAATTTTGAGACTCTCTGAATAACTCGTTGGTCTAACTGTTTTTGTATCTGTGTGACCTGTAGATGGAGTACAGCGTGTACAGTGTACGTGTGGTTTCAAGTATAAAGTTTTAGACCCACGCATTCTGGACCTCGCCGTGTTCAAGTGTTCAATACCTCAGCACATTATATCGGTGTTAACCTTGCTTTTATAACCAGAAATGTCCTTCAACTATTTCAGATGAAGTGAAAAGGGATGATTTATACAGTATTTCAATCCAAGGCAGAAAGTCATCACAGGAAACCATTGACACACACTGCCCCCTACTGACCTAAGTATGTAATTACAAATATACTGTATATTCAGGAGAAACGTCAATTTCGAAGATGTCTTGTTGAATTTTTCTAGAATCTTTTCATTAAAGTGAAGAATATACAGTGATTAGCTTAAATTTCAGGCAATTGTACAAAAAACTCTTAATAAAAAAATCTTAATATAACTACCAGAGACCAAGAGTGGTTAGTGTACGTGAATGGGATAACAGTTAGTGGAATATACTGTAGGTGTGAATGGGAGTGTGAATGGTTAGTGGAATATACTATAGGTGTGAATGGGAGTGTGAATGGTCAGATATCTGGCCCTATGACAGACCGGTGAACCATCCAGGCTGTGACCCTGGCTGCTGGGATTTGTTCCCGCCCCACCTGGAATGAATTAAGCTGCAGAGGAAGAGCAAATGAACAAATGAACTTTATTTGGTGCATATGCACAAACCTTTTTTTTAAAAAAAATCAAAATGTTAAATGTTCTAGCTAAATGGACAGAAACAAACATCAGCCTTAAAAAAATAAATGTAGCTGCATGACTTTGGTTAATGTTAAAAAATATATTTTTTTTAAATCCATAAATAATCAATGCTTAGAGTCGCACCCAGATCTGTTAGAGATCTGTTGTTAACCATACATTAGAGGACAGTAAACTAATGTACAATACTTTGTGCAGTATATATATATATTAGTTCTAGTGATTTTTGATCGAGTTGCTTTCCCTTTGTAAAATAATAATAATAATGATCACAAAAATTCTTTCAGACCAGATTTCAAATTCAAAGCTTGGCCGTTGATCTACATTTGATTGTCAGCTCTTAGTGGTGCAGTTTTCTAGATTATGAAGTACCACCAGGGGGCAGTAAAACACACTGACTGTAAATTAAGTAAATTAATAATAAAAAAAAGCTCACTCATGCTGCTGAAACCATTCAGTCCTGAAGGATTCTTTCAGATTATTTTTTTTTCTGCATTTTTGTTAAAATATTTTTACTCTTAAAAACTTAAATATAAAAACACATTGCAGTAGTTCAGACCACTTATCTGGTCGCACCTCTTCGTTATGATTAAAGTAGTATAAACAATAAAAACATTACACATTTTTTGTTTGTTTGTGCGCAGTGTTTCAAGCCAGGTCTTGTCTTTCAGTGAAAACTTGGTAGTCAATGGTCGGGCAACTGTCTACCTTATATACTGGTACGACTGGTTTTAAAAAACAACCCTGACAGGGAAACAGATCAAATGGTTTGTTGACTTTCACTTTTTGGTCACACATTTGAATGTCGTGTTTGTTCTCCCCTGGTTCCCCCTGCACTTTGAACAACTTTTACCTAGTTACACATTCTGTTTAGTTGTTACATCTTGCATTTGCTCATTTACAGTTTCCTCTTCTCTGGTTTCAGTGCTCTCCTCGTCTTCCTCTTCATCCTGACTTTTATTGATGCTTTCGGTCTTTTCCTCCTTCGAGTTACATTGGTTAGAGGTCATCTCCTCAGATCTACCGTCACCTTCCACTGCTGTCTGGGCCGTGCTGCGATCTGACTCTTCCTCAGACTTCTCCGTGTCCTGCAGAGGTTCTTTGTCTCGTCCTGGCTCTTGATCTTTGTGGGTTGCGTTAGTGGGACTTTCATCCGTTTGTTTAGGCGTGGCGCTCTGATTCAGCTGTACACAAGTGTTGGAATCCATATCTACAGGGCTACACCCTCTTGAAACATCTGACTCATCGTTATCATGAGGCGCTGCTCGGTACATTTCTGGGTGACTGTCATCACCTGTGTGTTGGTCTGTCAGTGACTCATCAGAATGCTCTTCCTGTGGAGCGGTTCTAGAACTGTTCAGTGCAGCAACAGTGGGCAGCTCTTCATTTGTACTGGACTCTGGATCAGGGATTTCCTCCAACCCACCAGGCTCTTTCACATTTTCCCTTCCACTCTTCTGATCTGTGCTGGTGTCTTCCTCACTTTCTTTGTTTGAGGAGTTCGTCACAGAATTTTCATTTTCGTGCTCTTCTGGTTCTGACACACACACAAAAAAGACAAGAGTCGTTATCTGCCAAATACAAACATTTCACTTAAAAACATTTTTTTCATGTTCAAAAACAATCACCTGTGGATTGTTTTTCAATCTCTGAAGCACATTGTTTGACATGACCTGCAAAAAACCAACACAAGTAAAATGTATTTCCAGCACCTTACAGTACTAATACTGTAACTCACTAAGGATAAAACAAGCTGTCTTTGTCATGGTCTGTTATATTATAATAAGATATATTATAGCTGTCAAAATAAATACATTAATCACAT